GCACCCATTTCCACCCATTCTTCTCAATTTACCCAGTGGGTTTCACCCTTAATAAACATATACTGGAAGTGAACATCCAGCATTAATCTTTATAAATTGACCACACATTTAGGCCCCGTTTGATAGGGATTTTTTGCCCCAAAAAATTAATTTTTTGACCGTTATTTTACTATTCAAGCCGTAATTTTTGACTTCTTCTCTCACATGTGGACCCCACTTTTCTTCTAACGGTCAAAAAATCAATTCTCAAAATCCCTATCAAACGGGCCCTTAATATATGTCTTTCTAAATTTTTTCAATAACCCAACATGACAGCAGTAGTAGTTGTGGAATTGTGAAATATAATGTTGTTTAAGATATTTTTTTTATTTAACTTAATCATTTTAAGTATTTTTATATTCATGTTGTTGTCACTGTTACTTATGGACTAAGTTGATGGCGGGAAGGAGTGAAATGGGTGAGGACAATTTTACCCTTGTTTATGGAAAGAAAAAGGCATTTTTGCATTTAATAAACGAAAAAATTGACGGAATGTGGACGGAAGGACGTCCAACGCAAAAAAAGGTTTAAATGAGGGCAAAAATGCCAAAAATGAAAGATAGGGACGTTTTCCACAATAGACTTTAAAGGTAAGGACGTTTTATGACAATTACCCAAAGACTAATCATGATCTATAAGACTTATTAGCACAAACATCCCTACGTTTAATCTTTAGTGTGCAAAACGTCCCTACGTTTTCAGTTTTTGTATTTTTTACCCCTGTACCTGCTGATCTTCTTTTTCCCACACCACCAAACCCTAAGAATGGCAATCAGGTTAAGTGGCTCAGAGGCTCACGAAAATGGGGCTCGTGGGCAGCTCAGGTTCGTAAAAATACGAGCCCTAGCACGAGCCGAGCCTGCTCAAATCCCACAAATGGTGAGCTTCTCATGGGCGAGCTCGTGGCTCGTCAATTTAATGTGACTTAAATGGTCACTTTTTTGAAAAAGTGACCGTTTTGGTTACTGAACTTCATTTTTTTCCCCTTTCTATAAATAGACACATTAACCCCCAATTTTTTCATCTCAATTCTCAACTCTCTTTCTATCCAGTCTCAACTCTCTTGTGCAAAATAGTATCGATTACTTAGTCAATTATCTATAATTATATAATATTGATTCTTTTTTTTTTTTTTACAGTTTATTCAGTTTCAATTTCAATTTCAATTCATCCAATTTTCATTTCTCACTACATTTATTGAAATTTCATCCAATTTCGTTTCTCACTACATTTATACTTTTACTAATTATTATATTTGGGTTTCATTAAAACAATCAAACAAATGGATCCATATTCATTTGTTGAGGACTTGTTCGATACAGGCTATGGCGAATCGCCTAGGACCCCCACAAAATCAATTTCGAAATGAATTTGTCAGTCTAAATGACGTACATATACCTGAAAATGTTGACATCCATGGTCATGGATGCAACAATCCAATTGATTTGGATGATATTGATGTTCCTAAAGTGTAACATGAGGACGAAGAGTCCGAATTAAACATTTCAGATGTGAGGGGAAAGCGAAAGGAGAAAAAATAAGCAAAATGTTGGGATCACTTTAAGTTGATGCCAACGGAAAAAGTCGTTGATGGCCTCGCAGAATCTAAAGCAGTATGTAAATACTGCCAACAAAGATTAACATGGCAAAAAGAAATTGGTACCACCCATCTCAACCGCTACTACAAAGCATGTGTGACTATACGTGGACTTCTTCCAGCCGGTCAAACACAATTACAATTTGACAGTCTAGACGCCAGTCGTATGACTTCACTCCTATCCACATGGGTGTATTCGAAGGAGAAAACTCGAACTGAAATGGTAAAATTTGTTGTCACCACTGAGTTGGCCCTGACTATTGTTGACAATCAACACTTTGTCTCGTACGTGAAAGAATATCTACAATCAAGGTATGTTAGGGTAAGTCGAAACACTCTTTGTGGCGATATAATATAATATTTCGATGATTCAAAACAATAATTAATTATGATTTTACAACAATATGAGGCGTTATATCTTTAACTTCGAATATATGAGAATGAGTTAATGAAAGAGCTTATATAGCTGCAACCATACGTTATATAAGCTCACTTTGGTGCATGCATAAAAAAATATTACTTTTTAGAATTATTGGGTTTCCTCAAAATGCTAATAATATATATAATGTTATTATCAGTATTATTAGATAATATAATTGCGAGACTAAAATTCGGTCTTTTACTTTCAATAATGCTAATGTTAACAAGGTAGTTGTCAATAAATTGTGCAGGGTACTGCAACCTGATTTCGATAGGTATTTGTTCCATATTTGTTGTGTGTGCCATATTTTGAATTTAGTTGTGCAAGATGACTTAAAACATATAAACGATGAACTTTAAATGATTAGGAACGTACTAGTATATATCACGATCTCCCCTGATAAAAGACAAGTATCTGAATATTATTGTATTGAAATAGGGGTGATGACTGCTAAAACATTTGTTAGCAAACGTAAACCATAAATGAAATTCTACTTACTTGCTATTAAAGCCATGTGAAAGATTCGAAAATTTAATAACTGACTTTTATAACAATATATACGTTAGAAGCAATGATGATGCTATGTTGAATGAATCTGATTGACATTTAGCTTTGAAAGTTAAAAAAATTTTAACATCTTTTTATGAGACCACAAAAATTTTATCAGGCGTTTATTATCCCACAAATTATATGGTGCTTAAACACCTTTATATAATTGAAAGAACATTCCATATATATAAAAATGACCCTGATTTTAGTGAAATTATAATTGTTATGGAATTAAAATTTAGAAAATATTGGGAAGACTTGCTTATGTTATTTCCTTTGTATGCGTAATAGACCCCTAATATAATCTATCGGGAACTAAATATGTAATTGATCAAATCAACAAAGCCTTAACATTTAATACACCTATCACCTATAGAAATTTAGAGCAAACATTATGTGAAATGTATGAATTAAATGCGGCCTGAATATGTGCGAATGTTAGTCGGGTACTCTCTACATCTACTCCTTCTACTGAAATTGAAGAAGGTGACGTTGAAATAATGAATTTATTTCAAAGCATTAATGCATATAGATATGATGCAACTGCATTGTGTTCATCTAGTACCATGTCGTCTATATCTGCATCTCATCAAACATCGGCTACAACTCAAAATGTGATGACTGTCAAATTAATTGATTACTTCAATCAGAATATGCTAACAGACAAAACAATTAAAAAAAAGCTTAGAAGAAGTAATTGACTTCTGACGAAAGTATGAAAGACGTTGGCAAGTTGTTTCTACAATTGAGAAAGATCTACTGATACTTCTGGTTAGCACTGTTACTTCGGAGTCTACTTTTAGTGCAAGTAAAATGATTTTAACCGATTTTAAGAGCCGATTGAAAAAAGATATTTTGAAAATGTTAATGTGCGTGAAGGATTAACCAGACGCTCATTTTCGACTACAAGATAAATATATCGAAATTACATTCGTCAGGTAAGTGATATTTGATTTAATTATATTAATCAAAATTTCTTATTTTTTAATTATTACATTTAATTTTCTTTAAAAAACTCTACATGTTACAACAAGTGTTCGTGCACAATTTTTAACTCCGTCTACTTAAAATTGATGTAGCAGGTCCCGAACCCGGATAAAGGAAGATGATTTACATTTTATCTATTTTGAAAATAAAACGAAAAAAATGTATTTTTTGTGAATGTATTTCAAAAAAATCATCTTCATTACATAAATATTTAGCACTCTATAGAAAATATTACTATATGATAAAAAAAATATATCTTCATTAAATTATTTTTTTTAAAATGCATTTGTGTTCATTTGCTTTTTTCTATTTAAAAAATTGACTATCCATTTAATATGTCTTTCTAAATTTTTCCAGTGACACAAGATGACAGCAACAGTAGTTGTGGAATTGTGAAATATAATGTGTTCACGATATTTTTTCTTTATTTAACTTAATCATTTAAAGTATTTTCAGATTCATGTTGCTGCTACTGTTACTTATGGACTAAGTTGATGGCGGAAAAAAGGGGTGAAGTGGGTGAGGACAATTTTACCCTTGTTTATGGAAAGAAAAAGATATTTTTGTATTTAATTAACGGAAAAACTGAAGGAATATGAACGGAAGGACGTCCAGAGCAAAGAAAGGTTGAAATGAGGGCAAAAATGTCAAAAAATGAAAGGTATGGACGTTTTCCACAATAGACTTGAAAGGTAGGGACGTTTTGTGCCAATTACCCGAATGTTTAACGGAAAAACTGACGGAATATGGACGGAAGGACGTCCAGCGCAAAGAAAGGTTGAGATGAGGGCAAAAAATGCCAAAAAATGAAAGGTAGGGACGTTTTCCACAATAGACTTAAAAGGTAGGAATGTTTTGTGCCAATTACCCATTTTTTTTTCTTTTTGTTTTATTTAAATAGTAGAGTATATTTGTCATTTTATATTTTTTATTTGAGAAATTGATTAAAAATTGATGAAAAGAACGTTTTCCACTATGAAATATGAAAATGGGAAAAAATTTGAAATGTAGGGACATTTTACACATTAAGGGTGTGTTTGATTACATTTATTTTTCATGAAAAATATCAATTTTCCATCCAAATTTTCACTTGGAGTGTTTGATTGCTATTTTTTTCCATGGAAAACATTTTCCAACTTTTGAAAATATGCCTAATTTTCTTTGTTTTTAAGGAAAATATTTTCCTTGAGTAGAGGTGGTTTTTATTTTCCACAAAAGATGGAAAATATTTTCTTTTCTAGGTAATAATTTCCATGTTAATCAAACACACTCTAAGAGTCAAACGTGGAGACGTTTTAATGTTCTATGCTAATAAAATAGAAAAAATAATATTTTAAATAATAACTTTTAAAAAATAATATTTTAAATTTACATATATAATAAAATATTATATATGTTATGCAAAGTCAATCAAGATTCCCCTCCGCTCTCTCTGTCTCAACTGAGCTCTGTTCCAAACCCTAGATCCTGATTTCTGAAAAATGGCTAAAAATCGTGAACCTGAGAAACCTGTAGAATCGGAATCAGAATCAGGTGATGATGATGAAGTTTCATCTGAAGAAGTCGGGTCTTCCGATTCGGATTCCGAACCTGAACAAACACTGGCGACAGCACCGGCCCCTAAGAAACCCCAGCCGCTGCCTGTGTCTAAGGCCCCGTATCCTTCATCTTCATCCGAGGAAGAAGACGAAGAGTCCGGATCCGAACCAGAGTCCTACACCGAAGTCGAGCCAAATGTGAAGCCCCTAGTCTCCAAGCCAATGGAAGAGCCACAAAAGCCCACTATTAGCGCTGCAGCTAGGAAGCCTAGATCCAAGCCTAACGCTCCCCAGATCAGCACGCCGTCGAAGGCTACTGGTGTTGCTAAACGCCCCGCAGAGGTGAAAGAGGCCGAAGCTATGGACAACAAGCGGTCAAAGAAGAAACTTCCACTCGAGGCTGAGAGTTCGGGTAAAACGCCGACTACTCCTAATGATGATTCCAAAAAACAGTTGTTCCAGAGACTGTGGAGCGAGGATGATGAAATTGTGGTTCTCAAAGGCATGATTGATTATGCCGCTAAGAAAAAATCCGACCCACTTGCTGATTTGAATGATTTTCATGATTTTATTAAGAAGAACCTTCACGTGGATGTGACCAGGACTCAGTTGCAAAATAAGATTAGGAGGCTGAAACAAAAGTACGAGAACAATAAGAGTAAAGAGAAGAACGGTAAAGAGAGGACCTTCTCGAAGGTACATGAGCAAAAAGCTTATGATTTGTCAAAAATGATATGGGGCAGCGAGAACGACAATGGTGTTGAGGGAGAGAAAGCAGTGGGGAGTCCAAAAGAGAATGGGACTGCTGTGAGGAAGACTGCGAGTAAGGGGCTTAATAAGGTTGAAAATAGCAATTCCAGAGAAGTGAAGAGTTTGGAGGTTGCGAATGATGATGTGGAGATGATGGCAGGGAGTTTCAGTACCGGAAGTTTCAGTGCAAGGAGTCTCGGTGGTATGAGCATGAGGGAGACGATTTTGAGTGCCGGGGCTGAATTTTTTGAAGGAGAAAATAAGGTCGAGGGGCATAAAGAGTGGATGAAGCTGCGAGTGGCGGAGGTTGAGCTTGAAGATAAGAAGTATGACCTGATGAGGGCTCAGGCTAGGCTGGTTTTGAATGTTTTGAGGTCCTCAGATCACTGAGTATGTGGGCAGGTGCAGGGGTAAGTTTTCGTTAATAGTTTGCTGGCTGGACAACTTGCCTGATCTTTGTTTCTACTTTAAGTGCAGTTAATTAGAATTTCTAGCATATCTTCCTAGGTTACAGTGTATGCTATTTATGTTTTGTTGAAACTCTCCAGCTTGCTCTGTATTACTAACATCTTTGAAGATGTTGATCTTTATGGATAGCCTATTTATGCTATATATTTTTGATATATTTTGCCTTTTTTGTTTATCTGATATGTTGTGCATTCTTGATCTGCATATGTAGTCTCAATTGATTCTTGTGGAACTTTTTTGGTACCTATGGACATTGACCAGAGGTTATAATACTGATTGTTGGAAGTACACAAACCATTCTTGGTATAATTTTAATTCATTTGTGATTTTCTTTTCATGAGTCAAATCTTCTTTTTGTCGATGGCATGACCTTATTTTAGGGGCTGTTTGGGCCCCATTTTTTCACCCAAAAAATTGATTTTTTTGACCGTTATTTTACTATTTCAGCCGTCATATTTGACTTCTTCTCTCACAGGTGAACCCCACTTTTCCCTTAACGGTCAAAAAATCAATTCTCAAAATCACTCCCAAACAGGCTCATAGATAGATTGCTAATTGCCAAGATTGAGTGTGTCTTTTCTTTTTCTTTTTTTGTGGGGTGGGGGGGGATTAGTAAATATTTGACAACAAGAAAGTGGAAGACAATTTTTGAAAGGCCTCCTCTAGAGCCAACAACTGAAGCTATAAATGAACTGTTGAACTTGTTAAACGCAAGTAAATTCAGGGTCATATGTTGTACATGGTGTGCTGAAGGTGTGTTTTCTTAGTTAACGATACGAACTTCTTAATGTACTTCTGTTTACATCTAAGTGGCAAGGAGTTTGCATCTCTCGGCTATTATCTTTATTGTGTTAGGAGTAGATATTGATTATTGAAATGGGGGAACTCATAGTATTGAGTTAATGTCTAATGATTCCGTCAAGTATATTGATGTTTTATTGAAGATATGATCAACTTCTTAATGTACTTCCAGTTTCATCTAGATGGAAAGGACTTTCGATCTTTTGGCTATTTTATCTTGATTGTGTTCGGAGTAGATGTACAAATTGATAGTTGAAATGGGGGAATTCATTTTATGAGGCAAGTCTATTTAATGATTCAATGAATAAATATCGCGATGTTCTATTATGCTTGGAGCTCAACATAAACCTCTTGCCTTCCCATTTTCAAGGATTTCTGGCGTCGTTAATAGATATATTTGTTCTATTACCTGCTTACATGTCTAGAGTACTGGTTACAAGCTAGATATTTTATGTGTTTCTATGTTGTGTTTCATTACTCAATGGCTATTTTTATTTCTGTTCTTGGTTGAATGTGCTGGTTGTTTGTTCACCCCTATTTTTTCCATCCACCACTTTCCCTTTCTATGAAAAGGAGGATGGAGAAATTTAGCCCCTGTTTGGTTCCCATTCTTCCCTCATTAAAAAAGAAAAATATGACTGTTATCCATCACATCAAACCACCAAATTTGAATTTCTATATCTTGTGTGAGACCCGTAACGACTATATTTTTCATTCTCATTCTTTCAAAAATGAGAAACAAACGGGAGCTTATTTTCGTTTTCTGATTGATGGGTTCCAGCGCATTAGATTTTGGGGGAGTAATACTGCACATTTATAGTTTGATTAAAGCTCGCTTCATCTGAAGTGGCCTTCTGAGGAGTTTCAACAAGAAATGGATGAGATCTTTATATTAAGGATCCGTTTGATTGTAAAGATGGAATTTGGACGGAAAGAAAACGAATTTTAGGGAATTGAATTGTTGAAAAAAAAAATTTCCTGTGAATTGTAAATTATTCTGTTTGATTGGTATAATTTTTCACGTGGAAAATGTTGAAATAAAAATAGTTTTTGAGAGAATAGTCGTATTGCTTGACACAAGTACCATGACAATATGAGGGATGCAGAGGCAAGTTGCTTGCTAGGAGAAGCGTGATACAGCTCTTCTTTAGATCTAATGCAAATGCACCTGCCAAGCAAATTTGCAATAACGTGTGCCATTAACAAGAGTACAATTGCAGTTATACCATGCTTGAAAGCATGGTTGTCAGGTTCTCTACATTCAAAATTCCATGCTCTCAGATGTTGAACCTGTTAATGAAAACTATTAATACATAACAAGGAAAAGGTAAGTGTGTGTGCAAACCTTTCTTGAGAGAAAAATACCTTGTGCTGTTCAATTTCTGCTTGAATTCCCATAATTCCTGCTGTAATGTCCATAATTGCGATCGCAAGACAAACAAGAAAGGCAATACTCTCTGCCATTTTTGACAGATGTGGAGTCTGAAACGAGATGGGTTTTACAAATAGGAGAAACGAGAAATGTCTTATTGCAACATGGATCAAGTCCTGGATGGGAGTTGATGTAAAGTTGATATTTGCTTTCGCTCTGTAGAGCCATTGATTCCTTTCATGGAGGAACAAGAAAAGCATTGTCACCACTATCAAGTGCATCTTTGGAAGTTGCTTTCACAGTTTATACATATTCCTTGCCTAATTATATTTATTGAAGTTGTTACGTATTAGATACAGTCCAATGTGATCCACATTAAACTTGAGCTGGACTTTTCATGGCAACTTGAGGGTTCGGACTGGTGTGGGTTGCCTTTTCAAGTAGGATGTACTGGGCATCACAATTCTGCCTGGCCTGACAGTCATTAAGTTAACGAAATTGTATGGAGTATTGAAGAGTTAATTCCTCAACCGTGATAAGATCTAATCGAAGTATCAATTATGAAGCAAAACTCGTCTATAATAAATGCGTTTCATGCAGTGATTGGCGTTTTTATTTGATGAAGCTAATAATCTATCGCATTTTCTATTTTTAGCGAAAGCATGATGTAACTCTCAAATTTTGCTCTTATTTGGTTTTGGTAAAAGTAATACGTGGAGTAAATTTTGAAAAAAGACGATGAAATATGTTGTTGGAAAGTTGTGAATTCAATAAAATGTATGATTAGAAATGAGTTTTGGAATCAATAAATTTTAAGAAGTTTGGTCAATCAGGGGAATTTAATGGATCATATAAGGAAAATTTTCCCCTCTAGTTACTGATTAGCTACTGTATAATTATTTGTAGTTTTCTACTTAACAGGATATTTTCACATAAAATTTAGTTCCTAAAGTTCTGATTTGCAATTTTGATTGACATGAACCATTCTACAAAGTCCCCTGTGAAGATAAAAACCTGTACGTGCACGTTTTTTCGATTGAAATATATTACATGCAGAAATAATTATGGTTCATTTGGATATCACGTCAATCATGAAAAGGGTGACACTGCATGTTTACTTGTCATGGGACGGGTATTTATGCCTCGATCTTTGAGCTCCGTTGGACTAAAAGGTCTCTCAGCATTCGAGGCTCAACTAAGCAAAGCATACACAAAACTCTAATACTTAAAAGGGGAAATTACACCAATCCATATGTTTTAAGATCCAATTTCAAAAATCATATTCAAAGTTTAGTTATTCAAAAATCAGATTATAATTAAAAATTTTAATATTAATAATTATATTAAAAAATAAAATTATCCAAAACCCTAATCATTTCACTACTTTCTTCTCTCTCTAAACCGTAACATTCTCCCCTATTTCTCTCTTCCATCCATTTACACAACCTTCGCCGGAGACCACAAATGCACCACCTCTGGCGAGATGGCACATCCGGCGTTGACGCATAGCATCGGAGGCGCAGCCGTCATTTCGTGCACTTGGACGACGCCGGAGACATGGATTCTCCAATTATTGCTGCAAGGCCGTGACTACTCGGTGGTGGGTGTTGGTGTTCGAGACAGTGTTGAACATGGTCGTGACGATCCACCACTACCGCAACGGCATGGCGTCGCTCTGAATCAGCCAGAGTTTCTATTGCGGTTGGGTCGATCGGATTTTTGGAGGTGATTTCTTTCTCCTCCGATTTGATTTGCTTAACCGAAGCGCGCTTTGTAGAGGTGTCTTCTTCTCTGTAGTAGAGAAATCTAGTGGTGGTTTTGCGTTTTGTGGTGGTGTTGAGGTGGTGTTGGTGATTGTATTGTGTTGGTCGATGGTGTGTGGGTGCTGTAATGGTGGATATCAGTCATGGCTATTGTTGATGTAATGGTGGTGTATGGTGTGATTGTGGTGGCGTGCGATGTGCATTGGAGGTGGAACTATGTGGACAATTTAACTGTGTGCGTTGGTGGTGCTATGGTGCAGTGAGGTATGCAGTGGAGGTGGAGGTGGTGGTGCGGTTGTTGGGGGCATGCAATAGTAGTGGATTGGCGGTGGTCGTGACTGCTGGTTGATTTTGTGACACGTAATTGGACTCGTGACCTGAAAATTGTGACTGGGACTTTCAATTGTGACTCACAATTTGGGTGTCATAGTTGGTCGTGGCGGTGATTGTGGTGGTCGTGTCGGTAATCGTGGCAGTTTGGTTGATTTGTGACTAATAATTGGATCGTGGCGGTGGTGATGGTGACTACACCTGTGACTCTCGATTTGTGACTTGCATTGGACGGGATATTTGTAACCAATTTTTTGGTTATTTGTGACCAATAAATTGGTTTGTGACTTATAATTTATTAATTTGTGACCATAAAATTAATTGTGACCAATTATTTTGATATAATTTGTGACTGACAAATGAATTGTGATCAATTAAAATTTTGATTTTGTGACTAATCAATGAATTGTGACCTAAGAAATTTTTGATTTGTGGCCGACAAATTAGATGCGACCAATAACAATTTTGATTTCGTGACCTATAAAATTTTTGATTCGTGATCGAAAAATAATATGTGATCTATAAAATTTGTGTTTGTGACTTATAATTTATTGAGTTGTGATCGAAAAATTAATCTGTGACCTATAAAATTTTTGATTCGTGATCGAAAAATAATATGTGATTTATAAAATTTTTAATTTGTGACCAAAAAATAAGTTGTGATCAATAATATGATAAGTCGTGACTAAAAATTAATCCGTGACTAATTATTTTTGGATTTGTGACCAATAAACAAACTGTAACTTACAAAATTTTTGAAATGTGATCGTAAAAAAATTTGTGACATAAAATTTTTGATTTGTGACCAAAAAACAATAAGTGACTAATTATATTGTTAATTTGTGACTCAATTGTATAGATCTGTGACCTAAATATATTTAATTAATAAAATAATTAATTAACTAATTAAATTATAAATAATTTTTAATAAAAATCTGATTTTAGAAATTTGAAACTTGTTTTCTCATTTTTGAAATGTGCCATAATTAATTTCTTAGTTATGAAATTTTCCCTACTTAAAAATGTACTTGGAAATCTTGTTCATGAGAAAAATTAAAGGCCCTTGAATGGTCTCGAATATGGACGAAAATCTTACAGCAAATTTTGACAAAATCAATATAGATTTCAGTGCACTAAACCCTTGAATACAAACGATGAAATTTTGGACAAATGTTACATAAGTACAAATATCCACAAGTCTTGAAAATGAGACTTAATCACATCTTTCAACATAATGATGAAGAATGTCAACTCACGAAAATGACCAAAATGCCTCCATTAATTGCCTATAAATGGACCATTGCACAAGAAAAAAGGGATCCAACTTTTCCACCCTAAAAATCGAAAGATTTAAAAACTATTTCTCTATACAATGTCTCAAATTGAAAGAGTAGAACCTTTCAGAAATTGAAATACTATCTCCGATTGAGAAGTAAACTCCTAGAGAAAGAATGTCAAAACATCTCTCATTATCTTACAAAGATTGGTTTCCAAAGGCACCCAAAATCACCAAAAACGAGAAAACTCCACAGAAATTCAAGCAGAAAACATGATTTTCGAGGCCTCAATGGCATATGTCGAAGGCTCCAAGACCTTAATGTGAACACCATGTTTGTGCCGAGGGTTCATTCGAACACAAAGAGTTGTATTTGAGTTGATGAGATGAGATGGTTTGAGATCGATCACATGTGGGTCGTAGTACTGTGCACCAACACTTGTTGATCCACCTCAATAGCGATGCCGCCCATGGTCCAATAAGTACATTGGAGGTCCTATAGCTTTTAAGCTGCCAGTGGAACTATTTGAAGTTCGTCAAGTGTCTTCTTCCAGTCAATAGTTTTCTCGTCCCATGTATTCAAGTTGGTTACCATATACTTTCTTAGAAAATTGTTTCTATTGCTAAAGCTTCTATGGTTCCGGTCTACTTAGCGATTAATTTTGGGTTTTCTATCCCCTTTTCCACTTGTTATATTGTGACTAGAGCTTTAGAATAACAGTTTGAAAGTCCAAGCATAAATCATAAAATATTAATTTACATTACTCAAGATGAGTCAATAACAATTGTATTGTCCAGTTCATCACAAAGTTTTAACGAGACCAAATTAGGGGTGTCAAAAAGGTTTGGTGGCTCGGGTGGCTCGTAGTGACCGAGCCTCAAAATAAGAGGTCGGTCCGAGCCCGAGCAAGCCCGTGTGGCTCGCCGAGCCATACGGGCCGGCTCGTGTCACGGGCCAAAAATGGCCCGTGACAATAATGCTCAGCCCGAGCAAATTAAAGGAAAAATTTTTTTTTTAAAAAAATTGACCTGCTGCCTTAGGCAACAGGTCACTAGGTAGCAGGTTACAGCTGCCTTAGGCAGCTATAGCTACATTTTTTACGTAGTGTTATAGTTACACTGTTACCTTTAATCGTATAGATTTTGAAATTCAAATTTGAAAAATAACGCGAGTTTTTTTATCTATAAATATGGGATGATTTTTGAAATTTTAAATCACTTTACTATCGATTTTAATTCACATTATTTCTATATTATAGATTCAATCATTCAAGTTTCAATTTCTTCTTTCTCACTTCTCATATAACAATTAATATATTCAATTTCTTTCACTCTACAGTCTAATATTCTGTATTTTTTATTACACTGGTTATTGTGGATTTTACAAGTGATGAAGTTAATCAGTTTGGCGGTAACTCGAGTACTCCAACTAACTACGATGTATGTGAAAATGTTCCAATTAATTTGGAGGATATTGAAGAGAAAGAAGTTTAAGTACTCGAGACAAAAATGTCAAAAAAATAATCATCGGACTATTGGCAACATATGACACGAAAAAAATTGGTGTTCAAAATGGAGTAGATATTTGGAAAGCATGTTGCAATTACTGTGGCAAATAACTTAGTTGGAAGCCTAGCTCGAGCACAATGCATTTGAATAGACACGTATTAAGGAGTTGCAAAGTGAAACCAGCCAATCTCGACTCGAAACAGACCAAACTAGTGTTTGGTGGTTCTAATTCTACTTTTTCCACTTTTGTATATTCACAGGAAAGATTTCGTGAAGGAATGACTGCATACGTGGTTGCAGCAGAGATGCCGCTTACAATGATAGACTAAATACACTTTACTCGACTCGTGCAGAAATATCTCCAACCCAGGTATTCTTCTTATTCTAGAAATACTCTTCGTTGGGATGGTATAAAATTATATAACAGAAGAAAACAAATTACTATTGAAGGTCTAAAATTTTTTAATAGTATTATATCGTTTACTTCTGATTTATGGACTGGTTGTAATAGAAAATGTTATATTGTTGCTACGACTCATTATATCGATCACCTGTGGCTCTACATAAAAGAATTATTGCATTCAAATGTGTAGAATTTCCCCATAATGCCACTAACATATACATGGTTTTAAAAGATATCATACAAGAATATGGTATACAAGATATGG